ATTTACCAGAGCGAATATTAATTGTGATTTGCCCATTGGCAATATGCGATATTATTATTTGTAAACAATTATTACATGGAATAATATCTCACTCACTCGTATGGAAAGCATTACAATGCTTGATTTTCATGGAAAGTTCAAAATTAAATATTTCACTTACACTTGTTTCAATTTATAAAACTTTCTTTTTGACTTAAAGATTCTTTTGGCGCGATTAAAATACAGATTTCATATAGAGAAAAGTAATAAACATTTTTACAGAAAGAAAAATTCAAATAAAAATATTGTAAATAAATTCAAATGCACACAGCTGCAAACTCTGCAATATTAATGCAAACTATATAAAAACATTAATTGAAAATATTTGTCAGTAAATATACTTTCCTTGCAGAGTATTAAATATAATCTAAACAACAATCTTCATAATTCGATTTATTTTTAGAACGAGTTACCAAGATAAACAATGCGATGATTCGAATTTTATAATTAAATAAAAACAAATATTCTTTTCTTAATAAAAACAGAAAATCCATTTCCCCAGCGATGTCGATTCTCGAGAAACTTTTTAAAAACTTCAATGTTTGCGCTTGTTGAAAATAATTTTACTCCCTTATAATAGCAAAGAAATATTATTTTAATTAAGATACACAAAACCATAAATTTTTGTTGTTTATGCACACCGAGTAGCTGAGAATGAACTAATTAAAAGCAAAAATTATGAAAAATTATGATCTCCAGTTAAAAGTTTTTAGAGCAAAATATGTAAATATATGTAGGTTTGCAGAAATTATGTTAATTTGAAATATATTTCGTTTTATATTAGCATTATTAAAAGTAAAGCTTTCATACTACAAGAATCGAGAAAAATGAAGTGGGATACTTCTCTATAAATTTCTAGGAAAAAACGCATTACGAGTTTAAAAATGAGCATTACAACTATGGAAAGGAGATCCTCATATGATTTCAGTGCATACTTCGGGAAGTTTAAAAATTATTTATTTATAAAATCATTTATTCAAACCAAAAAATATATATCATGACAAAACTCCAGTTATTTTGGTAAAAAATCTATAAAATTTATTTATAGCACAAAATGACATTACAAAACACATTACAAGACACAATCACAAAATTAGACTAATTTTTGCGGTGAGAAAATTTGGTAAAAGTCTAATGATTTAACTACAGCAAACTGTTAAAAATAAATCTGTATTTAAAACTAATTATTTTTTTGCTACATACTTCAAATTATGTACAGCATACAAAATTTATTAATACATTTTTAATTGAGATCATCAGATTTAAGTAATTAATTATTATTATTCAACAAGTAATGTAACAATAATATTACATTCTAATAAAATAACGTACAAACTTGCAGTATTAATTATGTATGGCTCATTTGAACTAAAATTTTCTAAATATTTTGCTTCATTAATGTAATAACTTTGATGCATTGATCTTGCAATTGAATTTGTTTTTTTATAAAAAGCGTCATTTGGTAAACAAGGTTAACAATAAATAAAATTCTTATTTAGGCTGAATTCAATACAATACAAAAAACTAACAATTTTTTGTGTTTTTCAGAACTTAAGTTTACAACATGTAGTGACAATACTTCTTAACCACGTGGCTTAGAAACATAGAATGCAATCCAGGCCTATCTACGTTTGTTATATTTTCATCAATGTCAATGCAAGTTATCAAATAATTATGATTAATTTTTAAATTAATACAGCAATGACTATATTCACTTAGGGATATATTTTATTAAGATCTGTATTTTCAAGTGAGAACCGGCCTCAATGGACTTTGCTCGAATTGGTATCGAACCAGGAATATTTAGGTGTAAAAAAAGCTCTTACCATAGCAAAGTTCACACCGATAGAGTCATGGAAAAGCCCTATCTTATCCAATACAATCTATTTTAGAAACTACATTATGTTTTCTATGTTAGACACAAACACTATATTTCTTGTAAAATTCCTCGACTTAATCAAATTAAATTATTATCTTCTTTATTAGAATAAAATATGAATGAATTAATTTCTCCTAAGTTGTTTGCGTAATAACGCGACAAAAGCGATCGATACAGAATATCTTGATAAGTATTATTTGTACTTATGAATATAAATATTAGGTTGACATTCAAGCTATACTATTTGTGTGGAAAAATTGCGTGTTTCACGTACTGCGAGTATTGTTCAGGTATAATTTTCTACATATGCCGTTCGCATGCAAATAATTTCTATATAATCATCGAAGTAGAATGCCTGCTGCAAAACGAACTTTTTAAACGCTACTGTATTCACGATTTTGTTACAAAATCTATTGCAAGTTTGTATAATAGCATATTATTCATGTATTATTGGAAAGAAGTACATTTTATTTAAATTCTTACGAAATTAATGCTAAATCCAATAAAACGATTATTTTCTTCTATTTGTCTCTAACTTCAGACATGTTTTTCTTCCTTTCATATATTATACAATAGATACAATCAGCCTATTTATCATATCTTGAACTTGATCATCTAGTTTCCAAAGTATTCTGATCATCAAAAGTTTGCGCTTCAAAATAAATTCGAACATATTCAGATTTATAAGCATCGCGTATTACCTTTTATTGTAAATGGACGTATAAGCAGTGACTGTAACAAGTAACAAGTCTGGCAAACATTTCACAAAAAAACCTCTGCTGTTTGTTATTCTGTACAAAGAATTTTTTATAATGCACAAAAGCAACCTTCTCGCATCGGTCAACCGAAATAATCTCACGTATTCCTCGAATATCAATTCACACGAATCCTATTCACAAATAAACCATTGTTGGGTACCGAAAATGTCAATTTCCTTTCAATAACCGAAAGGCGTCGGGCGCAAAGCTTTCAAGTCACATAACCGAAGTATGAGAGACCGTTAAAATGATATATACAAATTGCGTATCTTATTCGAAAAATAAGCTATACGTAATCCAATAAAGTTTCGGCAATGAGCAAGTGAATATAAGACTTTTTTATAGCAAATCTCGTACAAGAGGTAATCATGTAATTCGTACTATTGAGGAGTAATGTTCAATATGGTTGTAGGTAAAAAACTCTATTTTTACTTGCTTTTGAATAGCAATCAGAACATATCATCTCTATAAACTATTGTGATGATATTAATAAAAAGTTACTAACGCTCACATTATTATTATTAGTACTAAATATGCTGAAACTTAACGAATATTCGAAAGTAACGAATGAGGAATATGTAACAAATCTGTCCAATCGCGAAAAATCATCGAGTAGTAAAATAATTACTTCAGCTCAATAGTTAATTTTGGACTTTTCGATATTTGATATTTTTAATTTTGATATTTTTAAATATTGTTATTATTGCATATAACTCTTATAATAAGTTTTAATTTTTTCCTCCGCCACTCGTAAGCCGCCGCTCAGACGGCAAAATACACATTAATTCTGCGATTAGCGAGGGGAAAGAATTAATATATGTATTGCTGTATAAATAACTCAATACTGCATGATATAAAGGTCAACTCTTCATATAAAAATAGCAAAAAGATAATTAATAAAAAGTGAGCATTATTTAACAAAAAGTAATAGTGCAACTTTTGATAGGGGAAAGTCCCCTAGTGGCGGACACCTAAAGTTATTTTTAAATAAATCAAAAAATATTTTACGAAATGTTTATTAAATTATGATTTATGTTAGATAACAAAGTTAGGAATCAAACCAAATTAACAAAACCGCAATCTTTTCTAAAAATAATTAATACTACCAATCAAACTTTGGTATCAAAAAATATGATTTTAAACAGTGGCACCTAGTACCGGACATTTCAAAATAACCTGCATTGATCACATATGTAGCCATCTCCACACTTTGGAATGTCTGCACATGTGTCTTTGACAAATATTCTTAGATATTGCAAAAAAGTAACTATTTATCCACTCTTTTGGCTGGGCCACACCGATGCTCTCAGCTGGTGCGTTCACCATAAGCTTTTCATTCTTTGACTAGGAAATACGGAAAATGGGGGTATGTAGAGACCGTTAGCACTCATACAGAACAAAATTAAATATTTGGAATAAATTACGTAAATTCTCACAAGAAAATTTAATATGTTTACTGTCCGGCACTAAGGGACGATTTAGTATCCGGTTCTAAGGGACAGACATTTTCGGTCATTTGGTGGGACCTACTGAAATTGGTTAAAAGATCTAATAATATTCTACCATTTTGCGAATAACAATCAAGTACAACTTTTATCTTTGCATACCATCAAATGTAAATGCATAAATATGCTAGAGTTACTTCCACTGATATTTAGATGACGCCGTGATTTTGCGCCTAAAACAGGAAAGGGTTGCTCTCGCCGGGGCTGTGTGCGTCACCTGCGAGGTTTGGCACATATTCCTGTACCTGTGTTCCCCCCATGCCTTTTTCACTTCTATTTTGAAATGAAAAGATTTATTCTCGCTTAAATAATGCGTGTTAAATAGAGTATCCGGTGCTTGGTGCCGTCCGGCGTTACGAGACTTCCCCCTAATAGTGTAACTTGTGATATATTTATAACAGAATCGATAAAACATCGTAGTAATCCGTCGCACAGAAGAAAAGGATCAAGAAACAACAAAAATTATAAGATTTTAGTTATCACGCAGAAAAAATAATAGATGGATCGATATACCATTTCAGTTGGACCCATAATTTTGACTTCAGATTCTTGATCATCGGTAAAAATTTGTTGGAAAACGTAAGTGGTACACCCAGGAACTGTGTAATTACACATCAATATTTTACAAATATGTGTGATCACTACGAATCTACAAGTGGTGACACAACTCTTCATATAAACTAGTACAAACTTAATTTTAAGAAATATGTCAAATTACGAGAATATGATGATTTAGTATATCCCCGCTTATATCTCAACCGTTTTTGACAACATTTCAAATAATAATTTAAAATTAAAATCTATCAAACTATCACTTACCGACAACATTCAGGTGTATAAAATGGCTCATATGCGGCGTGGTACTGATCTGGCACTCGTAGATGCCCGAGTCCCGATGCTGAGGGTACTTTATCTGCAGCGTCCAGTCTTCGCTGTGCGGGTGGTGTATCGCACGGAATCGCTGGTCGGACGTGTACGTGTACCGACCCACAGTCAGGAGATGGATGTCGCGATGGCGCACCCACGACACCTGAAGCAACATCTGCAAAATTGAAAATTTGCATAATATGCATGACCTACTGATCTAATTTCAGCGCTGTGGAAATTAATTAAATGACGTTGCTTGGAGTAAAAAATAAAATTAATGTGCACTACGATGTATGCAAATATTAATTAGTTGCAGAATTGTATAGGATTTTAAAATTGTTGTGGAAAACATGGAGTTGATAATTATTTCAACTGTGTAATACGCATTGTAATGCTTACAGTACTAATTAAGCAAAATAAATGTGAAATCTCAGTACAAAAAATTATCAACCTTTTATTTCAAAAATAAAGTTTCTTGCACTAAAAACTAAACATTGCGATTTCCAATTGATATCTCTCAAACATATTTACAATATCTGTAATGATACTAATTATAGTACACAAACACATGCTTGTATGTTGTGTAGGAATATTAATAAATTCATATTGGAGATATTTTTTATAACAATTTATAACAAATTCACATTTACACTTTATCTGCTTTATTTTAAAATTTTTATTTTTAATGGGTTTTGCTAATCAAGCGTTTACAAAAATAAAAACAAATAAAATACATTTTATACAACAACATTTTATTTTACGTTTTATCACGCCATGCCAAACTATATACTGATTGACCCATAGCGGCTAAATAAGGAGCATATTATTTATGTGACTCCTCTCTCTTAAGGGGAGTTAACAAAATATATAATTATTAATATATAAAGAAATTGTATTTTTTTGGGGAAAAAGTTTATTTTTCTCTGTTTTTAGTACACACATACAATCATATTGTATACACATTGTAATCAATATTTATCATATATATTAAAATCATATATATATATATATATATATATATACGAGGTGTGTTCAAAAAGTACCCGGAATTACTAATAATTAAATTTCGCGGGTCTGGAGTGTCTGATTGTCAAAATTTTTTTTTATTGTGTTGGTATACATGCCCCTAAAGTATGATGAAATTTTCAGCTATATTCACTGTTTACTTTGTCTGTGGTAGTCGCTAAGGTTCGACGTGTTTTTCTGAGCTCGGCGATTTTTACAATGGAAGAATTGAAAAGTCAAAGAATTTGTATTAAATTTTGCGTAAAAAATGAAATAAAGTGTTGCAAAGTGCAAAAATTCACCAGATATGGCTCCGTGTGACTTTTTCCTATTCCCAAAGTTGAAGAGACCCACGAAAGGACGGCGGTTTTCCTCGATTGAAGAAAATCGCTGAGAGTGCTCAAGGACATATCAAAAAGTGAATATCAAGGGTGCTTCGAAAATTGGAAAAAACGCTGGCATAAGTGTATCATATCTGGGGGGGACTACTTTGAAGGGGACCACATTAATGTAGACGAATAAATAAATATTTTTTTGAAAAAACGAAAATTCCGGGTACTTTTTGAACAGACGTATATATATATATTAAAATACCGTAAAAAATAAATTATATAAAATACCGTGGGTATTTTGGTATAACATAAGTTATACAAAATACCCACGGGTAGTCAAGTATGTACAAAAAGCAACAATGAAAAATGTATTCTAAATATTGAAATAAATACTTTTGTCTTGTCTCTTTTCACGTTTTAATTAATACACTTCTTTTGTTTTTTTTTTTGCAAAAAGTAATAGCTTTCTTTGCTTTTATTGGAGTTAATTCGCTCCTTATATCAATAAACAAGTTTTCGTAAAACCGACTAGTGCAAAAACCTTATCGAGATGTTAAATTTTATTGAAAACGCCAAAACATTTTCTAAAAAAATCTTAAGAAATTATTTTGTGCAATATTAAGCATATTCTTCAAGAAAATGCTAGCACGATTACATATATGAGTATCACATACGTAATAATTGATATTATTCAATCAGTAAATTAATTTTTAACAAAACTAGAAGTTTTGTAGACTGCTCATTAGATGTCACATATAAAGAATCTATTTAAATAATTAATAATTAATTTTTGTATTTAATGCATAAATCTATAAACTGAAGATAGGAAGATTTTTGCAATAACAGTTACAAAAAACACTTTTTGCTACTTTCAAAGAAACGGCTTGGGTCCTTGATATTACTTAACCTTTTGAATTAATGGTTACATTTTTTCCATAACTAGAAAAGTTTTAAACACTGCTTAGGTGACTTTGATACAAATAATCTATTTTTTAGATAATTATTAATTAATTTGTGTATACAATAGATAAAACTAAAAGCTTAATGAAGCAAGATTTCACAAAAACTGTTACAAGAAAGCACTTATTTGCTAATACCAAATAAAAGGCTTGTCGGATCGTCTAGAAAACCTTAGCACGACTCATCCTTATAAAGTTTAATCCAAGAGCTTTTATATTTGTGAAATCGATTTAGAAGACATGGAATAAATAAAAATATATACTGATCACGTCGAAAACCACCGCCAATTGTTACCAACTTCAAAGTATTTATAAATTTAAACGACTTGTCGTAATGTCGTGATATTTTGGAATGTTTTTCAGAATATAATATCTACAACATAAAAAGTTTAATCGACATTGTCGAAAAAAAATTCTACAGTTGAAAAGTATTTAGCGCGATTCTTGGACCAAAAAAGTTCACTTTTCTGCCAATAACAAACTCAAAACTAATCAATACATGTACCTATCTACAGATAGTTTTTATAATAGTTTTTAAATGTCTGAAATCGCCCAGCCGTTCATGAGAATACCTAAAATGGAAGTAAATATCGGTTCACACACACACCCATACCTTTTTCAAATTCGCTCTAATTCAATCTAGAACGGACTTTTTGGCGAAGACAAACTTCTCCTTGGAGAGATTAATATATAAATCATTTTTTATTTTAAAATTAATATTTGAGTACTCTCAACTACGTTTATTACATTATTTTACATTGTTTGCAAACATCAAATTTGATAAATTTCTGTCTACATTATGAATCTAATGAATAAAGTTTCAAACGAATACTAGTGTAATAATTTGCTAACTGCAAAACATTATTGCATATATCATTTACGCATTGATGAGCAATTCACTACATTACGATATACACATAAAACTAACAATTAATATTCAAATTACTTATAATGCATCGCGGCAAAAGTATATTTGCTCAAGATGCACCATACAGATAGAGATACGTAACAATATTCGTATTTGCGCACAGAGCTCATTCAGATTATTTACCCAACCATTTCTGTATACACTGCCGAGTATGATGGAAAAGCATAAATAAATTCACCATACTGTTAGAAATAGACTGCGTCAAACACAGACATTCTCTAGCTTGGAAAACAACGTATGTAATTAGATGAATGTTTAAACTGAAAGTACAATAGAACAACGGCGAAATAAAATGATACTTAAAACTCGTTTTTACTGCAGGCGTAATAAACATTGAACACTGCATGAGAATTATGCTTATTAACGTTGGCAAGGCTTTTATGGCAACTGTTATAGTTGACTATTGATTTAAACAAGGCTTCGTAGTACTGAATTCCGTGAACCAGGACATTTGCCACTATTAAGAGATTTAACATGGATAATTGGTTCCCAATTGGATTACGAATTAGCATATGCACGATTATTTCAATGCGGATTTAGCAATAAGTTGAACATAGTATTACACGCAACCCTGTATCTATCTGAATCTATAAGGGATGATAAAATAATTGTTTGATTTTAATTGATCAAAGAAGTTTGCTCCTGGTTCTGTAGTTAGTGCTTAGGCCTTGCAACTACAATGTTGAGAAAGGTGATCCCGTCGACTATATGAGTTGATCTATGCCCATCTGATGAATTCTTACATATTTATTGAATTCCAGCATTAGACTTTAACGCAAAGGATAATTAAACAATCATTTTACCGCCAGAAGAAACTCAAGACATCGTGCCTCAAGCAATATGTCATGTTATTATTAGTTTTTTTTTAAAGTATTATAAATTGCATTATAAAATATCCGTATTAGGCTTAATATCGTATTAGCTTAATCAATTTAATTAAGATAATTTTTTACTATTGATCTATATATGCTGGAAATATTGTTCTATTAATAATTGAATACCAATCTGATGTAAAACATGAAAATTCTCATTTAATTTTGTATCAAATGTAGGTCAGAATTTATAAATATTTGAGTCACAAAGTTTTTGATGTTTGGGCCTAAAAATATCAAAAATTAAACTTTGATTTCAATTCGCATATATCTAGTCAGATGTATGTTTACGCACATACTGGCCTTGTTTCTTTTTTATCTTATAGAAAATTAGATTTTCTGGATTCTATTTTTATTTGTGATAATTTTTCTATAATTAAATTAGTGTTGTTGATTTACCTTTATTTTAGTTCATTGCAGCATTATTGGAAAGAGATATTTTAACTTGTAAGAATTATTGTTTTATATAGGCTCTTCAATGATCATAGGCAGTAAAATGCAGAATATATTACCTAAAAGTATCTATTTTTCAGTCTAGCATATATATTAAATAATCCAACTTCATTTTCCCTTATAAACACCAATTAAAATTTAAGATTAAACAATTCATTTTAATCATGTATGAATATACAAATCACGTATAAATATCAAAATACTCTAAACCGTTGTGTTTATATATAAACCGTGGTACCAAAATCGTTATTTTTTATCCAATAAATAATATTCATATTAAAATCTTCAAACCGAAAACAAATAAGGTTTCTACACAATTTCTTATTTTTGTAGAACAACTCAGCAACCTTAATAAAAACTAATAAGAATTAAAATGTCGATATATTTTCAGTAAGCATTCGTAATTGGCTTAGAATTAACATGGGCATAGAACTAATTAATCTTTTCGGTACAAAAACGTTTTTTCCAGGAGTGACGCTGGTGTACGAGCAAGGATACCACGCACTTTCTTGCACAAAATATTTTCAGATTTTCTAATAACTATCATTAAAAATATATTTAAAAACTAAAATTTAACTAATTCCCTATAATATAACTCAGAGTGATAAATATTCAAGCAAAAGTTG